AGCACACGAAAAACTACGTTTTCGCTGATAAGACAAACAAACAAAAAATAGGTATAGTTTTGAGTCACCCACGCCAGAAGGCTACCGTTGTGCTGGCTGTTTGCTTTTCTACGTGACAACCTGAGGGAAGAGAGGTCGGCGCCCGGGACTAAACAGTCACGTGCCGCCTGCTGCAAAACCTCTGGCGCCTCGCCGGTGGGAAAGGGTGTTCTACGTGCTAATCAATCATAAGTCAGCAAACACGCAGACATCTGGTGTTCGACACACTTTCCGCCTCTGCCGGCCACCCGACAGGCTCGGACCAGCCCAGGGGCAGCCCGGCAGGCCTGGCCCGCCCAGCCCCTAGCTGTGGGGGGCACAGGGGGCGTTCGTCTTCCCCGGGGTCTCCAGAAGGACGAGAAGAAGCTGGGGGTCTTCCCTGTGCGCAGCCCGAAGTGAGCCACGTAAAACAGACGCGAACTGCACTGATGCGCACCGGGCGCTGACGGAGCGATCACAGAAAATCTGTTCCCCCAACTACCCCGTGCGAGCACCCAGCAATCCACCGGCTCTCGGCGCGCGCCGTTCTCGGGCTTCTTTCACGGCTCGTTCTGAGTGTGACGACTCAGACCACACTCCTCCGCAGAACACTGGGTTAAAACCAATGAGAGCAGCAGCATGGCAGAGAGAGTGGTTGTGTCAGGCTCTTGCTCAGACGTGCACAAGGCAAACGCAGCCCGAGCGTGAGCCGGGCAGAACTAACGACAGGCCTCCGGCCAGCCCCGCGAGCGCCAAGGAGAGCGGCTCCCAGAGGCCGTCCAGCTCGCGCTCCGGCCGGGCCCCTGCCCGGAAGGACTCCGGAGGACGGTCCCACGTGAGAGCTTCCCGCCCCCAGAGGCGGGAGAAAGCCGGTGCCCGGCCTTTCACGGCCTGTTCCGCTCAGTCGCTGCCCGAGACCTGTTTGTGCTGCGAGGGCCTGAGTCGGGACACTTCCTGTGAGAGGCACGTGTGTGTGTGAGTGTGTGTGTGTGTGTGTGTGTGTGTGTGTGCGGGTACGTGTGTGTGAGAGACAGACCCACGGGGGAGGGCCGGGGTGGGGGGGGCGGGTTCCTCTCGTTGGAAGAAAGGACACACAGAGCGTCTGCAGAGATGGTTACTCCCGGCGTCGCCCCGCACAGGTGCGGGCGGAGCGGGGTCCAGCGGGCGAGCTCTAGAGGCTTCCGAGGGGCACGTGGCAGCTCCCACAGGGGAACCCTCCCGGGGACGCCCACATGGCAGTGGCCGGCAGCTCAGGGCGGCTGCTCCGTCCGTCCCCCAATGGCCGTGACTTGCAGGTGACACGGGCCTCCCAGCGTCGGTGGCCTCGCTGCCTTCCCGCGGGGCCGAGAGCCCCTCCCCCGCCCGCACCGCCAGGCTGTCCCCGCAGCCCCCTCCCCGGGCACGACCCAGCGGCCCACCCAGCTCGTCTGCGCGACCTCCCGTGCGCCCCTAAATGCGCCGCCACCTGGGGGCGAAGACCGGCAGCGACCACCGACCCCCAGCGAAGGGCTTGGGAGCAGGTAGCCGGTCGTTGGGGTGAGGCTGCTCCTTCGAAGAGGACCTTCAGGGACCGCGGCCACTAGCTGCGCCGACTTCCGCAAACCAAGTCTCCGGAGAACGAAGCCACAGGCCCCCGAGACGGAGGACCCCACACCGCCGAGCGCAGGGCGGAGCGGAGTCTGCCCGTTCTGGAACTCGGCCCCGGCACGGCCCCGCGCACGGGCCTCCTCCGGGCCGCCGTGGTGACACTCCCGCCGCCGCGCGTCTCGGGGGTCTGGAGAGCCACGCGGGGCGCACTGGGCTGTGCAGTGTTTCGGGTCAGGGTCAGGGGTCAGGGTCAGGGACCGTGTGCGACTCACGAGACGAGACGGGAGCCTGCTCACGAGAAACGCCGCCGGCTCAAGGCCGACTTGGTCTCGGAAGAGGAGGGCGGTTTTGAGCCCTGTCCCGCGCGGCGTCAGGTTCAGGGTGAGCCGAGCCGGCGGGCGCAGCGCGCAGAGCGAGGCGCAGCGGGGCGGGGCGCGGCGGGTGGTGGGCGGCCCCCATCGCCCCCATCGAGTGCATGGCAGCCCCGGGCTCACGCGCACGCTGCCTCCTCGCGCACTGCGTTAGCACAGGAAGGGTTTGTGCCGCATACGTCAGTGTAAATATTGTTGTACTTGGTTTTTCTAAACCACCGAACTGAGCCCGTTGCCTCTTTGTCCTGAGATTTCTTCTCGCAGATCCAACACCAGCGAGGCGAGCTCTAGCGTTGCTCCCTTGGATCTGATTTAACTTTGACAAAACTCCAAGTATGACGATTAATATCGCAGAGAGAGCTGTTTTTAAATCCTGGGAGACATAATTTATATTTAGGGCTATCTTCCCGTCCCAGTAAGTATAATCTACTGTTTCCCCAACCAGACACTGGGGAAAATAGTTTCGAAATCACTTAATTAGAGGAAGGAAAAGACCACACACTGAGAAACAGTCTTCCCATTTTTTTAGGTGTTCACAGCTCAGCTGGAAACTGCCAAAAAGCCAGGCGCGTGTGTAAAACTCTGCACAGACTGGCGCCCCGCGGCGCCACAAGGAGCCAGGCCATCCGACACCTCACGTGCACGCGGCACTGGGTGGATGACAGGACCCGCCGAGGAGGGCACACGCCTGCTCTCAGCTCCGTTCCCGAGGAGTCCTCTGGCGGGCGGACAGAGAGCGTGCGTGCACTGCCGGCCCCAGGACGGGTAAGGACCGCAAGGGACTCTGCCAGGGGTCGAGACGGGGCGTCTTCGAAAGCTCACGAGTAATCTGGGTGGTTACTCGTTTCCTCGTTTCAAGAAGAACCTCGTCTCATGTTCCAGGGCTGCTGGGAACGTGGGCAGGAGACAATTTCCCAAAGCCAAGTGACCGCGAGAACAAAGGCGGCTGCCGAGACCACCGCCGTGCTGAGAGGCCACCGCCGTGCCGGGCGGAGGGCGTTGGCGTGCCCTCCCAGCCCCGAGGGCCTTCACCAGCGCAGACGTGGTTCTCACTGCCCCCAACTGCCCCGGGTTCCAGCCGCTTCCCCGCCTCCTGGGAGTTGTGTGGGGCCGCCCTCCGTCACCCCTGCGACGGAGGAGGGCACACCCACGTGCCCAACAAGCGGACGGCAGGGGATACATGGACATCGCTTTGCTACAAACACCCTTGCCACCCACCCCAAAACACCGGGTTAGTTTCTGAATTGTTCTGTTGCAAACACAGAATTATGCCCCGGCTGGCGTGGCTCAGTGGACTGAGCGCTGCCTGCGAAGCAAGGGTCGCTGGTTCGATTCCCAGCCAGGGCACAGGCCTGGGTTACAGGCCAGGTCCCCAGTGGGGGGCACTCAAGAGGCAGCCACACAATGATGTTTCTCTCCCTTTCTCCCTTCCCCTCTGTCTAAAAATAAATAAAATCTTTAAGGAAAGGCGTCCGTCTCTGCTCTTGCCGTGTCCACTCTGCACACAGCAGACAACCCTGCAGGAGACCCTCGGGGGTGGGGGGACTCGAGGTGGACGACCAGCCAGCGGCTGCCCTCACGGCCGAGCAGGAAGCAGCCGCCAGGCCACTCATGCACCCCGACACGAGACTCGAGCGTGACCAAGTTACTGTCCATTAGGGTCGATGCGGGCTCACGGCCGTCTGGGAGACAGCGGCAGGAAGAGGCCGCTACCCGCCGAACCGCGGGGGCCACTCGCACGCGATGAGGAAGCCGCTCTTCTCCAGCCGCGGGGCTGGCGTTCACAGTGGAACCACGCACAGGCGGGGTCACCGGAGTTCGGGGGCTGCCGAGCTGGCTGCCGGTCCAGGCTGTGAAGGGCCCGTGGACCCCGCCTGGCCGATCGGTTCAGTGGGACCGGCTTTCTGGGTCCCGGGACGGCGCCCTGCACACCGGGGCTCCGGCCGTCCTCCCGCCTGCAGGGCACTGAGGAAACGCGGCCCCACCGGGCGCCGGAGGCCGAAGGAGAGTGCAGGGGTGGACCCCACCCGCACCCCCACCGGTGCCCCGCCCCACGGCAGGGACACGGCCTCCCCCTGTCCTCCCCCCTCCCACGAACTCCACCTCCCCTGTCCGTTCGGGAGGGTCTGCCGTGCACGTGCGCCGGCACCAGCCGGGGACGCGGCAGGAAGCGGCTCTGCTCTGCAGAGGCAGCGACCGGGAAGCACTGTGGGAACTAGAGGTGCTCCAAAATGCCGAGTCCGCGGAAACGACGACAGAATCACAGAGAAGCCAGGACAGGCCCAGGAGGCGTCCTCACGCTCTCGGCCACCGGCAGGCTCCTGCGTGGTAGGGCTGCAGCTTGCGGCTCTGTCAGCCCTGGGGGGCGGGGGAGGGGGCCAAGCTCCCGGTCTGTGCCAATTGCGTGCAGCACTGCCTCCCGCTGCCCACTCCAGGGCCAGTGAGCAGGCTGGCCGAGCCCCCCGAGCTGCTATGTACCCACCTGGGCTGCTCGCTAACCCGAGTAGGATTTGCAAGGCCCCCCCCCGCACCCAAGGAAGGGGGCCCATCCGGGGCTCTGAATCGGCTGGAATCTGTGGGGATTCGGATGTGCCTGCCCCAGTCCACCCTCAAAGACTGAGAGACGTTCTCCTGGTTAAGCTCAAGCTGGACCCGCCTCCGTGACCAGCCCTGACCCAGCCCCTGCTCCAGCCCGCAGCCCACGGCAGATGCGGTTTCCCTCCCAGGGCAATGGCCAGACACAAGCCCTGAGCCCGGGAGACCCCGAATCCTGAAGGGACGGCATGGGGGTGGTTGGAAGCTTCCCCTTCTCCCCCTCGGGAGAAGGGCCCTTGTGTCTGGCCACAGAGAAGGGTGGGGATGGGCCCTGGGCCAGTGCCAGGCTGGGGACGGCCACCGGTGCCCCAAGGGACAAGCACAGACAGAAAGTATTTAGAATGTCGTGGCGGTTTAACAGAGAGATTTTATACCTGTTTATTGTAACAATAAAATATCAGGGCTTCTATTTTATGTCTTTATTTCTTTTTCTGATCATTTTTCCTAGACTTTACAGAGGTGCCAGCCCACAGTTGACTGGGCAGTGAGAGGGAAGGGCCCTTCAGACCAGCAGACACCCAGCTGCTCTCTCAGTCCCGCGGACGGGCTCTGGACACGGTAAATTCGGAAGGTGTCGCCCTTCCCCGCCAGTCCCCGTGAGTCTGCCCGCTGTCGGCGGTCGGCTGGTGACGCGTCCAGGTCTTCGGAGAAGCAGCTCGGACAGGCTTAGAGATGAAAGAGATTTGGGGGTGGGGGGGTGCAAGGAGGGGAAATGGGGCCAGGAAAGCTGCGGGGACAGGGGGAGGGGACATTAACTTGCAGTGCGGGGCTGACCCCGGGGAGGAAGGAAGGAGGGAGGGAGGGGAGCAGGGGCTTGGACCCGTTGCATTTGCAAGAAAACTCAGCAAGGCCAGTGTGGAGTCCTCCTCGGCCCACGTCGCCGGTCCAAGGCGCCCCTGCGTCCCCGGGACGGACCTGCCTCAGTGTCCGGGTCGGTTAGCCCCGTCTGGGAACCGCCCCGGGGAGGCAGCTCTGGGCACAAACCCACGGGGGCGCGTTGCGGGCGGAGCAGACAGGCATCGGGAGACCTGAGGGGCACGTGTCCACGGCCACCACCCTCCCGGGCCCCGCTGCTCCCCCAGTGGGAGCGACCTCCTTTCTCCGATGGGTGAGGAGCCGTGTGGTGCGGTTCACGCATTGGGCCCCCCTCCCCCGCTTACTCGCCGCTCTGAGTGCACCTGGCACCTGGCTGGGTGCCTGCGGGCAGGACCCCGGCCTCAGACCAGAAGGTCGTGCCCCTTCCGTGAGCGACCAGACTTTTGTGCAACGAGCTAGGTGCCCGCTGGGACCTCAGCACTTTGTGGGTTTGGGAGCAGCTGCCTCATCACAACTGCATCCACCTCCGTGTTCAGTGTCTGACCTTCCGTCCTGGCTGGCCGTCTGCCGGGAGCTCAGGGAGCAGCGTGGTCGGTCACTGGCTCTGCCGACCACCCAGTGCCCGGGCGGGTGGGAGCTCATCCACCCCGAACGCCCACGTCACCCTCAGACCCTGAACGCACGACCCCTGCGACGTGCTCTCCTCTGCCGACGACGTCGCTGCCGCTGACCAGCCCGGCCGCCGACTCGGAAGCACCAGCCCGCACCCCGCAGGGAGCCGCTTGCGTGGAAGACGGACACCCGCCACCGAACGCCCACAAGGAACAACAGACACGCTCCGGCTTCTCGAGGAAGCGGGGCAGGCGCGCCGTGAGACTCTCCCCGGGCAGGCCCTCCAGGGCGGGCGAAGGTCTCCCCGGGCCACCCACCGGGCCTGGAAACTAGGAGAGAGTTTCCCTCATAGGAGGGGCCGTTCGCTGTGTTGTGAGGGCCCAGACCTCACCCGCTGAGAGGTTACAGTGGAGCCAACCTGCCAGGGCTCAAGGGCACCGTTCCAGTGCCCCCACCTTGCACCCAGAGGTCCCGAGGGGGCGGGGTCCCCGGGAAGCTCCCGTGTGGTCTGGTTGGGGCGGGGGGATGGGGGCGGAAGCAGGAAAACACCCGTGGGAGCTCAGGCATGGACCCAGCACAGAGAGCCTCCGGCCAGGCGGCCGTGGCTGGGCTCCTGGACCCCCAGGCCTCCCCGGACGGCCCCCGAGCCGCCCAGCAGAGGTTCGCACCACGAGGAACGTGACAAACACACGCAGAGTCTTGAGAACAGGAGCCCGGACGCCGTGCTCCCGTTTTAGTGGCAGAGGCCCCGGCAACAGTGCTCCGAGTGTCCGGCGCGGTCCGCCCGGCAGCGGCACCTGGAGGGCGTCCGGGACGCACTCCCAAGAGGGACCTCCCGGTCACCCGGGACCGGTCCGCTGTGAAGACTGGAAAGTGAAATGCGGCCCCGGCCGCCTCTGCCGTCCGCTCGGGGCCAGGCGGCGTTCAGAGGGCACACGGGACCCCGCGAGGAGCGGTGCAGCGCAGGTCCTCACACGGTCCGCTTCTCCGCGGGTCACGCACGGCCCAGCTGCACGGAAGGGGGGAAAAAGAAAGAAAAACCAAACATAGTTTATCAGATCTCGTCAGGACACAATGTTCCCATGAATCTAAATCAGTGAGAGAATGCTTTTAATGACCAGCAATTCACCCGAAAATCTGCATTTTCTTGGGCTAATTAGGATAATTGCTCGTAAATCATCCAGCTCCCAAACAGATATTTTGTTTGCCCGAGTGGATTCCTGTCCGAAGAGATGCTCATTAAATCCGGCGACCTAGAATTATCAGCGAAAACGCAGAGCCAGCGAGATAGGCTGCAGATGATAAAGTGCGGCCTTTTCTTCCCGGCCTTGACCCCTGCCCTGGTAAAAAACTGCCGCCCGCCCCCAGGACCTGCTCGTGCGAGGAGGCTCAGCCCAAGGGACGGGGGGCCTCACCGGCCTGCCCTGATGCCCGGGTGGACCGCGCACTCGCTGGGGCTCGGGCAGAGGCAGCCTCGCTCCCATGGCTGCGGGACACCCCACCCCACCGCCTACATCGTGACGGGAATCACTGAAGGAGATTCGTGCTTGGTCCTCCGAGACGGGGCTCGGCGTGGCATCGGTGCCGGTCGGTCGTGCGTGACTCCTGCACAGGCCGGCGTTCGGGCTGCCCCTGTGGGCACGGCACGGCCTCGCACGCCACGGGGACGCACACCCCAGTGGGACGGGGCGGGGTGTGTCTGCACACCCCAGTGGGACAGGGGCAGTGTGTGTCTGCAAGGACCACTTCGTCTTCCCAGCTGCACCACTTCCTTCTCACACGCTCTGCAGAAACGGGCAAGGTCACCTTCTCGTGTGGCATTGCGGCCAAGGTAGTTGTGGTTGCAGGCAGACAACTGACCGAGCATGAACATTGCACGCAGGGTGCCACCCCCTTCACCAGACGGGAAGCTGCACAGGAAGGAAGGGAGGGTGAGAAGCTAAGCAGAAGTCACTGAAGAGCAAAGCAGAAATCCCAAGTGAAATCTTCCACAAGTAGAATGCAACACGTATGTTAAAAACACGCCACAGCCAAGGGGGATTCACTCTAGGTGTGCCGCTGAGGACTGAGAGTGAAGACCAGCCGTGGTCACTCACCACATTGGGAAAACCAAAGGGAAAACGCCCTCTAATTACATCATTTGGCTCAGAAAAAGCATGTGACAAAGTGCAACACCCGTCAGTTATCAAAACCCTCAGTGTACTGGGAGTGGAGGGGTGCCTCCTTAGACTCATAACGAGCTTCAACACAGAAAGCTGTGGGCAACATCCCCGTAACGATGAGAAGCTGGATGTGTCCCGAATTCCCTCTAAAGTCAGGAATGAGACAAAGACGTGTGCTTGATCACTGACATTCCGCACATCCCGGAGGATCTGGCCACTGCAATAAGGCAAGAAAACACATCTACAGCGTATAGTTTGGAAAAGAGAAAAATAAAACTGTCTTTATTCACAGATAATATTATTGGCTATGTAGGAAAGTCTGAGGAATCTACTAAAAAAATTCTTGGAAGTAATAAGTGGATCCAGCAAAGTCACAGAATGCAAGATCAACACACAAAAATTAACTGATTGCATTACTATACTATATGCTGGCAACTAAAAAGTAGAAACCAAAATCAAAAACACGCACCATTTACAATTCCTACAAAAAAATTAAATTCTTAGGTGTCAACTTGATAAAAACCTGTGCAAGTTCGACATGATGGAAGTTATAAAATGTTGATGAAGAACTCAAAGAACATCTAAATACGTGGAGAGGTACGCCACATTCATGGGTTAGAAAAGTCACGGTAGCAAAGGGGTGAATTGTTCTGTTGGATCAAACAGATTCTGGTCTAAGTCTTAGGGAGCTGTTTTGTACGAATGCACAAGTTCATTCTAACATGCACTCAGGAATGGAGAGGCCCCGCAGCCCACACAGTTCCGTGCGGGGAAGAATGGGGGGGGCCCCACCCCCCAGCATTCAGGCGTCCTGCACAGGATGGTCGTCGAGACACTGGGGTCCCGAGGAGGCGGAAGACACAGAGCCCAGAGGGACAGGACGGAGGGGCCAGAATCACATCCACCTGAACACGGTCGATTCGCTCTCGACGAAGGAACAGCCAGATCACCGCCCTTCTCAGCAAACGGTGCTGGAGCGGAAGTGCAGCTTCTGCTACGGGCTACAGCACAGACCTTGGCCCGAGCCTCCACCTCGGACAGAAAATCAGTCCAAATGGATCATGGATTCAAATACAAAACCCAAGACTGCAAAACGCCAGCTCAAACTTCCTTACCTAAGTCAGAGAGCTCCGGGATGAAAATCGTGGCCTCCCCTCCATGCTTTTATTGTATCACGTTCATTCCGCACACCACGGCCTCTTTTCAAAGCAGAGAAAAGGCACCACATCCTGCCGGTAACCCGTGTGATCGCTGACGAGCGACCACATGTGAACCAAGTCGGCCGGGCGGGCTCCCACCCCGGAGGACGCAGGGCAGGTGCCCACCGAGAGGCACCACCGGGGTGGGCTAGAGGGCAGCCCCACCGCCGCGCTCCGCGTGACCCCGCAGAGCGGGCTGAGAAACCAGTCCCAGCGGGAAACCCACAGCCCGACGGCCCCCGTCAGCTGGACACGGGGGTGCATGATTCCAAACATAAGTCAGAGAGGGAATGGGGGACGATGAGCACCCCGAAATTTAAAAAACGGAGTCTGGAAACACACAGTGGAAGAAAACGGTGGTTCCAGGCAGCGTGCTCTCCACAGCACAGCCTGGGACAGACGGACGGACGGACAGAAGCTGCAGTTCGGCATCCAGGCTCCTTTCTCCAGGGTCACCTGCGTTCTGCCCCCCGAAACAGGTCACGGGCCGGCGCCGGGGCACCTGTCGCCGCAGGAGGGGGCCCTGCGTCACCGTCACGGCGCCACCAGCACTCACAGAAGACGTCCGGCTTCTCCTCCCCCGCATCGTCGCGGAAACGCCTTCAAGTCACTCCCCCCACCTTCCTCCCTGCTCCAGGAAAGAGAGAGAGAGAACCAGGGAGACTGCACGAGCGCTCTGCGTGCAGCGTCTACCGCCAGGTGGGAAGGAGGCCCAACAAAACAGAACACGTGGCCGCCGTGGAGCGGCCGCCCACGGCCCCCAGGCAGAGCGGCCGCTCCCAGTGCCCTGTGTGGAGGGTCGCCTGCGCTCTCCTCTCTGGTCGGCGTGCCCACCAGTGACACCGCCGTTCTGTCGTTCCGGACTCTCGGGTGTTTTCCCGGTGGACTGTCACCAGCAGGGGCAGGAGGGGGGTCTGTCGTTAAGGATGAGGTACTTCCTGCTGCAAGGGCACTCTGAGCTGGATTTTCTCGCCCACGCTGAGCCTGACAGATAGCCCCCCCTGCCCCCACCGCGAACCACTGCCCCCGCCCCCACCCGGGCCCTGGAGACCCACGAGGACACATCACACCCCGCCCCTTCCTTCCTGCCGGGGCCTTGGCTTCTCTGCCCCCCAACCCAGACTCCCCCCTCCCTCCCCCGAGCCCTGCCCTGGGCCCCTGCAACCTGGGGGCAAAACCTCTGCCCTCACCCAGCGGCCTCCTCTCTGACGCCGCCTCACAAGGGGACTGTCCTCCCCGGAGGCACCACGGCCTCAGCACCCTCCGCCCGGCGCGTGGTCTGCGGGAATCCGGGTTTCTATGGCCGTAACCTTGAACTCCCTCAGCCGTGGCCGTGACAGCCGCACTCCGCAGCCCGGGCCTCACCAAGGGCGTCTCCAAACTGACGCGCCCGGCACTGGAGCGTCCCCTTGTCCGGGGGGCTCTGGTCCCCACCTTCCCAGCAAATGCATTCAGGCTGTCCATGCGACCCTTCCGTCTTGGGCGTCTATTTTTATTTTCAGAATGAAACACTTGCCTTATTTTTAACCTTTAAACCAACGTTTGTCTCCCTCTAGGTGGGTTAAATCCGATCCGTCAATAAGGCGACACGGAGACTGGTTCACGTTCCAGATCCACCCTGTAAGGTGCACAAAACCACAAAGACGCGCCCAGCGGCCCCCGCAGTGAGGACGGTGGGGAAACGAGGGGGGGCCGGGCCAGTGCTGGAGCACCCCTTCCCGCCCGGTGTCCGCCGCCGCGGAAGCAGGTACCTGTTCCTGCAGCCCCTGCCTCCGTGGGGAACGACCTTCAATCCCGACTTCCCGTCTCAGGGGAAGGCACCGCCCCGCCCGCGCCCCTGCCCCCGCGCGCCGGAGCGGCCAGAGCAGCCGGAGCAGCGGCTGCCGGAGGAGCTCCCTCTGACCTCGCTTTCCTTCCTCGCCGTCTCTCTGGTCAAGAACCCAACTGAGTTTCCTGGACTCGGCCCCACGGGGGAGGAGGTCGGTCCTCTGGGGACAAGCTGAGAAACACAGTCAGGGGCCCTGGTCTGCTTTAAAAACGTTTACTCTCTCTTCCCTCTCTCTCTTCCTAACTCTCTTCCCCTGGAGGAAAGCGAACAACCCTGCAGGGCAGAGCGGAACGGGTCCGAGAAGTGTCCGGACCCCCGAGCGGATGGCGGGGGGGGCGGGGGGTGATGCGTTGGGAATGGAGCCATCTCTGAAGCTGCTCCGATCAGCTGCTCCGTTCGGGCGTCTTGCTCGAAGTCTGGGTGCAGCGTGGATCCTTCGCTCCACGAGCCGGAGATCCCCTCTCACCCGCTGGCCTTCGCTGGGGTAAAAACCGTACCCTCCTGCACACTGCCATCCGTCCGTCCGTCCACGCTGCTCTCCGGTCCCTGTCCCGACAGGTGGCGTGAGCCGCGGCTCAGACAGCTCTCCTCGGACGCCGTCCCTGTCCCGTCTGGCACTCGCGGGTTCTTCCGCCAACACCATCCTCCCCCACCACCCACCGCACGGACTCGCTCCCCACGCGCACCGGCTCACGGCTCACACAGACGCCCTCCCACCGCGCTGCGCCGAGCTCCAGACCAGCCACTCGGAAAGACAGGCTTACGCACTCGGGACCCAGACTATTCCGGGGCTGTGGGGGCTGTCTGGGAGGCTCACCCTAAAGTTTCTCTCCGGCACAGTGTTGAGAAACAGACACCCCCAAACCAGAGCATAAGCAGAACCTTACAAAGGTAGTCTGAGGGCAGCTTCCCGCCCTCGGACCGCCCGCCCCTGACCGCCCCTGACCGCCCCCGCGGGAGAGGAGTGTCCCCTCCCGAGGGTCTGACCTCGCAGACGCCCGGCACTCGGAGGAGACCCTGCGTGCCGTCCCTGTGCCACCTTCCTCATCGCGGAGAAAGACGGTGACGCGGGCGGGTGACTTCGCAGACCCAGGACTGGAATTCCAGGCTTCTCCCTCCAGCCCCGTGCCCTTTCCTGCATCTCAACACAATCTCCGCGTGTGGGAAAGTTTCATTCGCACCACCCCCCACCCCCCCCCCACCCCCCGAGAATGCGGTGAGGAATTCTAACCTCTCCCCACATGCATTTCAGCGGAAGCAGAGACGGACTGGGAGGGCCTGGGGGTAGGAGCAGGAGCCCTCCCCACCACTCCCAAGGGTGTGGCTTTGAGCCATCCCCCGGGGCCCCTAGAGAGCCGCCACCTGCAGCCCCTAGGGCACAAGTGACCACTCTGTCCCGTGCCCTCCTGCTGGGCGCTGTGTCCAACCGGCCTTCCTGGTGGCCTGGCCTCGGGCCCCGCCACCACGAGGGCCCTGGGCGGGGTCCCGGGCTCTGGAGGCTGTTTTTCCCCAGACGACCATCGGGGCAGGACCGACTGACACGTGAGGTGGGGACGGGGGAGAGACCCGCTCTGAGGGAAGAGGACAGGCTGCCGGCCCTGGCCCCCTGGTCGGAGAGGCCGCAGGCGCCACAGAACCACCTCTCAGGAGCAGGCGCCGTGACTCGCGTCCTCAGCGGCCCCCTCGGGCGGAACCCGCTCTCCCCTCAAACCTGTTTCCAGCTGCGGTCGGGGCCGCAGCTCCAAGTCTGACTCCAGGCCTCTGGGGGAAGCGGGCCCGGCCCTGGCCCCACACTCTGCCCCCGGTGACGGAGGGAGAGGGAGAACAGACAGAGGGTCTCGGGCCAGTGCAGCCCCCGTAGCCTGGGGTTCCGCGGGCCTCGGGGCCCTGGCCCTTAGCTTGGCCGCTGCAGACAAGGAAACGGGGAGAAGACGCCCTGTTCCAGGACCCGCACCCCAAGGAAGGCTCTGGCAGAAGCTCCTTCCTGGAGCAGGCGCTCGGGGAGACACTGAGCACCCGCGATGACCTCCCCGTGACATGTTAAATGTGAGTGAAACAAGGTGCGTTCGCCCAGGAACACGGATGTGAGCAGAGGCCCTGACCTCGGGCTCTGCAGCCTTGACAGCCCACCACTCTGATGGGGGGGGAGGGGGGGCAGCGTCCCGGGACCCCCGCAGAGCAGAAGAGGAGAGAGCAGCGCTTACTGCTTTGGGTTGTAGGTCAGAAAACCAAATTTTCGTGGCCAGTTGGAGGGAGCGGTCGGCTGATTAGAGATGCTAACGGATCAGCCGAAGGAATGGAGCTGACGGAACCCGGTACACGTGCAGGCCCATTGGAACCATCCCGCTAAACACGGAGGAAAAACACATGACTGCGTGTGCGGGCACGTGAGGGCTTTCGGCGGGCGCCCACGCCCAGGGCCGTTGCCCACCGGGCACTGCGGAGCCTGGAGCAGGAGTGTGCTCCCGAGGGTGACAGGGGTGGGCCTGGCCGGCCAGCCACCCAGAGGGGATTCTGAGGAGCCCGAGGCCACCGCAGCGCTGGGCCTGTGCCCGAGAGGCCGGCAGCCTCCCGGTGGGGGACAGGGGCAGACACCTGCCGTGGCCGCGTGTGAGTTCCCACAGCGGTGACAAGCCCTCACGGCCCAGACTGGCCCAGAATCCACTGCTGGGCTCAAGCCTGCAAGGAACAGCCCTTCCTCTCTCTTCTTATCTGAAGGAAACACAGGCCTCAGCCCACCTGGTGCCCCAGGGCCCGGCCGCCCCCTCCGTGTGCAGACGGAACCGGTGACACAGAGGAGCTCTGTTCTGGAAGCGTTCGGGGCATCAGCGCCAGATCAAGTTCAGCTTTCCCTGTCACTGATCTGTAATTCCGTGAGTTTTATGACCCCAGTTCCCTGCCTCGCGGCCAGATGTGGGGGAAACACTGTATCTTGAAGACAGGACCCGGAGCCGATACAAAATGTTCAACTGGTGAGAGCAGACGCTACACTTGATCTTAGCCAAAAGGCCGAGAAGCGATGGTATAAAATTTTAATATGTTCATCTGACTTAATACGCTAATGTCTGGAGAGAACACGCAGTAAACAGCACTCAGACGTGGCGCCGGCCTGGGCCCCCTGAGCCGGTGGGTAATGCGGCGAGAGCTTCGCTCCAGAACGTGAGTCAGGATTCCGGAGGCGTCCCCGGGGGCCGGCAGTCGCAAACACGGCGCATGCACGGAGGCGGTGAAGGCGAGCGCAGACCCCCCGGGAGAGAGGAGAGGCGTCTGCTCGTGGGCCCAGCGGGAGGGCCCAGCGGGAGCGCCCAGCGGGAGCGCCCAGCGGGAGGGCAGAGCTGCGCGAGACTCCGGAATCCAGTTCCAGCCCGCGCAGCGCGTCCCTCCTCGCGGGCCCCCTGGCGGCTACGCGCACGCACCGCGCAGACGCGGCAC